AACTGTTCGAAAATTAAGGGGAGTTTTTTTTTTCTTATTTCAAATTTTAATTTGAAGTTAATAACTTGCCTAAATAAAATTCAAATGAAATTAGAATTTTCGTTTTCATGACTTATAGTACAGGTTTAATAATTGTTTTTATTTATAGTTACAGTAAGTTATAAGCTGTAATTTATATTTCAATACACTTATCTAATATTCTACGTTCAACTGTTTAAAACCAGTTTTTAAAATGATGAGAATAAACAAAAGCATACACTGTATGCATTTTTGTAATAACAATTCTTAACATTTTGACCTTTGACCACAGTTTTTTTTAGGTAATGAATTGGTTATGAGGGTCCTTTTATATTATTATTTTTAGTTTTTGTATTATTGTGTGCATTTTGACACCAAAATCAACCATCTATCAGAGAGTGCTTTTAAGATACATATTTTAGTGCTTTAGGTTGGGTCAATGACTTTTAACCCCAAAAAGTAATTTCCCCACTCTCCCATTACCCTGTCTTTGTTTAGGTGTATCTTAATAGGTATTCCTACACAGGTAAGTTGAAATCACAATCATTGCAATATTTTAAAATGATATAGGCCTATGCCAATTTAGTAACTAAAAGATACTGTTTTTGACATTTTGATCTTTGACCTAAATGTTCATGAATTTATTATAATTGATTAAACATTATTTTCTTATTTGCTATATAATTCTGTGCATTTTGACACCAAGATCAAGCATATACCATTGAGTGTTTCGGAGATAGACTTTTTAGTATTTTAGACAGAAGTCAATGACCTTTAACCCCTCGTAAACATGTCCCCACAACACTAACTCGCCTGACTTTTTTTAGTGTATCCTGGTATATATATCCCTACACAAATCAGTTGAAATCTGCTTCTTTCTAATTTTTTTACAGATTGACCGTATTTTTGGTTAATTTTGGGATACTACAAGGTCATTTTGAGTTTGTGACATAATTTTCTCCAAATTAAGAATGGCCTTTTTATTATACTTATTTTATTAAAAAATGTTTTATGAAAATGTTGTTTTAGTTTAAATCTAAGCTTTGACCATATTTAATTAAGGACTACAAATGTCAGATACTAATGCTCAGGAATTCTTTAAAAAGAAAAAAAATTGAGAGGGCATTCAACATAATGCAGTCCAATCTTTTGAATGTTACCATGGCCTAGGAGTGTTGAGAGACTGTAATTTCAATACTCCTATTGAGAAATATCGCCACAGAAAATTAGGTACAGTATTAATACTGCATATAATGTGTGTGTTAATGTATTACATAAACTTACATTACCTACGTTGTTGTGATAATGACGAATGTTGAGGAAGAGTACAAAGGTTTAATGACAATAGACACATTCTTTAGCTATTTACAGTAAACACTAAATATGAACACCTATTCAAAAGAAATATTTATTGAAATTTATTAAGCTATTTAGTATCGTGGTTCCTGCCTACTACAATTCACAATTGACAATTCACAATACATTTTTATTCAATCAAATTCCTTTACTACGGCTGTAGGAATGGGTTTGAGGCCTGGCTTGCTAGTTTAGTCCTGAATTTGTATCTAAATTTTCAACTGCACAAATAGTCCTTGTAATAGGGTTACGCGTGAGCTAAGGGCCATCATATTATTTGTACCTGTCTATATCCTTCATATGTTGTGGTAACTAAATCATGTGACAATGTGCTATGGTGGCTGCCACAGGTCCCCATGTGCTCGGTAAAATTCCACAATGTAATTTACGTGAGCACTAAATGAAATAAGTATTGTTTTTTATGTTGATGGTTTTAAAAAAGTAAAAATATCAGACTAAATAATACTACTCCAGAAAAGGAATGGTTTTGTACCTTATTTTTTTAAATCAACGCCAACTAACTCCACTTTTGGAGTTCATTTCATTTGTTGAAACCAACAGTGTTTTCAACCATGAAGCCTCTGTGGTTTAAATGAACGGCGTAAATAGACATTTTTTGAATATAATAACATATTCATAATTAACCTCATAACTTCATAATATTTTAGGTTTATAGTCAGGATCAGGAGCCTGGCTATTTGAATCTGTTCAACTTTAAAGTTTCTGTGGTTTAATGGTTATGACGCTCGCCTTGACAGCAAGAGTTTGCAGATTCCTATCTTAAAGCAAAAGTTTCCCTTAGCAGAAATGGTACATAATGAGCTGTCAGATGGTCCAGAGGGAGCTGTCAGTAGCTCCATAAACTTTTCTTAATTGGTTCTAAGAATATCCATTTGATGTAAAGAATGGATCCTGGCCAGCAACAAAGACATCGGAATGTAAACAAGCTACCCATTACAATAACTCACTTTAAACGTAATGATATCATGGGCTTCAGTGGCAATACGTAATTTAAGAACCCATCGGTCTTGAACAAACCCGATTATTTTTTTTTCCAAAAATTATTGTGCCATGGACCATTTCCGTTAATGGCTAAAATGCAGCATGAGTCCCACAGGAGGCATTTTATTACACAATGTATTTATTAATAGAACAACATTCGGTGAGAGCTATGCTGCACGATGTACCATTAGTACTGTCATGTCCTTTATTCCAACACTGTATTTACCTTTCATTGATGATTTATATCTGTCTCTTATA